TATGGTAGAAAACACAGGTTACAAAGAGAACAAGGGAACTTGTCGGATCCGGCGAGATTGTAGTCGAGTTGATTCGACTAGCTCTCGATGAGTTGGCTCCTCGTAAGCTCCGGCTTCGTAGGCTGTGGAGGTTGTGTTGGCTTTGAGATTCGATGTCTAAACCCCCTCTCGGGGGGCCCCTTTTATATCGCAGATGTGGAGGTCTCCTCATAGAACTCGGAGGTATCAGACCCTATACGATACGCCAACGACCCAGTTCTGCCCGAGTAGGATTCTTCCCATCTATAGATTCCGTGAAAGGTTTCCTTAGAATATACAGGAAATATCCGTATGCGCGTGGGTATGCCATATCAATATGTAACGTATATCGAAGGGCAAAGGGTATACCTAACCCGTAACCCTGACAATATGTTTTTAGTGTTTTAAAACCTAAATTGTAAAATAAATTACGATGAGAAAAACATCAAACTTATTTTTTTAAAAATTCAAATTTTGGCAATAGCGTAAAGGCTAATCTCTCCGTTCAAAAATATAGCAACCAAATATTCAATGGGACATAACCTAATACTATATATTTGAATAGTCTTTTTTAAATGTATTAATAATATAAAAAAAACAACAAATTTGAATAGTCTGATAATTACATGCGCCAAAGAGCAAGTTGGGCCAGAATGACAAGAATGAATTGGTGATATGGATCGCTGCCAATCATAATGGGCCAATCTTTTCCTCGGCCTACTAAACCAGACCGGCCGTATTTTTCTGGGCCAGTGGTAACGTGCCCTGCCATTTGTACAGCTTATCCGTCTCCATCTGGGCCGATGAAATCACATCCAACGGTTCACATAAAAAACAAAGATGTCATCTCCCCCGCTTCCGGAGCTCGCCGGAGCTCCGCCGCGCGCAAACGACGACGAGAACACGAGGTGGTGAGAGACACCGGGTTCAGCGACTTCGCAGCAACCGCGTTTTCCGGCGAGCTTGTCGCCCGTCAAGGACAAAAATCAGTAGCTCTGTTTTGATCAATGTACACTCGAATCACAAATTGATAGGTAAATTAATTCAGAAACAGCATATACAGTGCAGAAATAAAACAGTAATTTGATATCAAACCGCTACAAAAACACACTCATTACTGGCACTAAGCAAACGACTGCAGATTAAACTGGCAAGAACAAGCAGGCACCCAACGTAACTCATCTGCACCATTGATTACTTGAGTACGGCGAAACCTCCAAGTCCGGCGACGACAACGATTGGCACGACGGAGGCCCAGACGACAAGCTTCCCAACGCCTCGCCGCCGGTCGCTCGGGGAAGCAGAGACCCAGCAGCCGACGCCCACCTCCGCCGCGCCGAACACGGCAACGGCGAGCAGCATCACGTAATAGGCGTCGAAGAGCGCCTTGCTGCGAACGAACACGCCGCCCGGCGACCTGAAAAGGGCGAGGACGAGCGCCGCGGCGACCTTGCCAGCGCCGCCGCCCACCAGCGCGCGCCGCAGCTTCTTATCGGCGTCGATGATCTGCTCGGTGGCCAATGCGGTGGGCATCGCGACGGTGACGAAATCGGCCATTGCTCGATCGATCGACTCGATGGTGCGTGTGGTGACTGACAAAGTGACAAAGAAGAAGGTGATGAGCTTGGAGATGAAGTGGATGCGATGCGACGAGGACGAAGAAGAGATCGCAAGTATTTATACAAGCGAGCCGCGTGGCGGTGGCAGTGGCGTTCGGACATCAACAGCCCGAGCCCGGTTGAGCCCGAGAGCCCGCGACGAGCCGACGACTGATGCATGTGCTGGAAACTGGACGATTCACTCGTCAGAGTCTCAGACAAAGATGACTCCAATATAAAATAACTAACAAGAAAGACGACGCAGAGATGCCGAGTTGCTAACCCCCGAGCCCGAGCCCGAGCCCGCGTTAACTAGTACGAAAAGCTGGTCGTGAGATCAAGAGAAGAAAGCATTATCATTTGTCAACGAAAGGGAAATTTGCAAGGAATCGTCGTCTTGGTAGCAGACATGGGCCCGGAGCCCGAATCCCACCATGGGAAGCAACGACTGGACATAAACTGCATAATACTATATGATTAATTATACCACTTCGCCTTGAGAACTGGGATTTAGTTTAGATTATCACGGTGATAAGCGTCAGGTAGTTATAATCAGGCAGAACCTCCGCCGGGGACGATGGACGAAGTAGCTAGCTCTGGCCATCTCCGACCATCTGCAGACTGCAATTCTGCTCTGATATCCTCACTGCAATTCCACTGTTTCTTTATTATTATTTTTTCGATTAATATATGGTCCTTCCCTTCTCTATTGCTCCCAGTTTCATATTATAAGTCGTTCAACTATTTTCTTAATCAAATTGTCTTTAAGTTATTTATAGAAAAATATAGTAAAATTTTAACCCATAACAAATATATTATCAAAACATATTTAATATTAGATTTAGTAAAACTTATTTGGTGTTGTAGATGCTGTTAGATTTTTTTATAAACTAAATAAAACTTAAAGAATTTTGATTAAGATAAAAGTCAAAACGACTTACAATATAAAACAGAGGGAGTAATACATACTATACAGCAAAGCTTTTTTTCTTTTCTAAAAAAGTAATATAACATTTTTTTTATTTATTCTTGTAGTGCCACGTATACGTCTTATGAGACGAGTACTAAGTGAACATGTTACATAGGTAACCACCGTTCAAACCATAGAGGGATATGATTTCAACCACCGGGGACATGGTTTGAACGGGTTTTTGTAGGTGTAGGATGCTCTACATCTAATTTTAGGATTAAGGGATATGAGTGAATATGTAAAATAAGTTTTTCCCAGTCCAAAACACAATGGGGCTTCATAGGACGAATCCTTTTCCTCCGGTGAAATAAACGAGACACTAGTGCCACATTTTGCTGGGCACATACGGCTGCGTCACAAGCGATTGGGCATATGGTCGTCGTTGCCGTGGAGCAGGAGCCTCACAGGCAACAGTGCATGGTGACGATGGTTTAACAATTTTTGACAGAAATGGAGAAGTATTAGTTTAGCATAAAATTAAACTATTACCGGTCCAATGATCGAGTAGCAGCGGATCAAGACGGTGACGTCAGAAAGGCCTACCACAGGGGGAAATTTTTTTATTTATACATTTTTTTATTAAAATATTTACAAAAATAATTTTTTTTTGAAAATTTACAAATCTAATCGCCTGCCGCCCTTTGGGAGGGTGATTTTCCAGAGGGCGGCAAGGGACCTAAATGTAAAATTTTTATTTGTGTTCAAACCCTTTCCAGCGATTTTAATTGCTTAAAAACTAATAATGCTTATTCGATACTCCAAATAATTTTAAATGGAAAAGTGATAAACTACAAAGTTATAGATCTCATCAAGATCTACAACTTTTATATAAAGTTTATCTCCATTCAATGTCGTTTGAAATGTAGATTTGAGATTTTTTTAAATGTGTTTTATATTTTGTAACGAATATTTAGATATCTAAAACATCTTGAATGAAAAAGTTGTTAACTACAAAGTTGTAGATCTCCTTGAGCTCTACAATTTTTATATAAAGTTTTATTTCATCTGACTTTATATAATATAATTTTAAATTGTAAAATCATACAGCTAACAAGTTGTGCTGGAAATTTTGGATTTAGGTCCCTTGACGCCCTTTGGGTAAAAAATCGCCCTCCCAAAGGGCGGCAGGCGATTAGATTTGTAAATTTTTGAAACAAAAAATTATTTTTGTAAATATTTTAATAAAAAAAGTATAAATACAAAAAATTCACCAGAGGGGGACGCCTGCAGGAACCGAGCTGTGCTTGCGTACATGAAGTCAATCTCGTAGCCGGCCTTTTGGGTCTTAATTAGGCCCACTCGTGATAAAACGAGCTGTGCTTGCATACATGAAGTCAATCTGGTAGCTAAGGGAAGGAATAAGTTCACTCTGACCCCCTCAAAAATGGATCGAATCTAATTCATGACCCTCGATCGTAATACCGGATATGTTAACCCCTTAACTGTTAAAACCGGTGCAACTTGACTCCCAGAGCAGTATTGATAGTGGTATTTGCTGACATGGCGTCCACATGGCATCCTAGTCATCAAAGAAAAATAAAAAATAAAGTGGGACCCACCTGTCATACTCCTTCCTCCTCTACCCCACTCTCTCTCTACCTTGTAGCTGTGAAGCTCGGTAGCTCACATCATGCTGTCGTTGTTCAGGTTGGGAAAGGAAAATCTAGTTTAGTTGTGGGTGTTCTGGAAACAAAGCATCCTGAATTACCAAACGGAATGGTAGCAGAAATGCCAGACTCTTTAGTCGATGCATCACGCATGCATGATGAAACCTCACTGTAAATGAAATTCTTTCAACCAGTAAAGGTTCCGGCGCATGTTGGGACTTGTGAATTGATGATTCGAGTAACTCCATATATATATCTCTAAATTAGACCAAACCACACTAGGATCAGTCTTATTGAAAGTGTACATACGCATCCAGTACTGATCTACTGTAAAACGATGTAATTAGAACGGCAAGAGGGGTCGACGTTTAAAGTTCCGAACCCCCGGAACTGAGACTGAATTGTCGTCAGAAAATTCAGGATGCAGTCACATTACGCCTTAATAACTGAGATTGCATGCTTCAGTTTGCAACTGTAGGCTGATCCTACCGGCGTACAGGTCTGATTGCATGGCTATAAGATCCCAGTGGGGGTCGGAGTTCTAAGTTCTGACCCCAATTTTTTTTTTTTAGAGAAGGGTATTTTCTACTCGGCCTCTATATCCAACCGGATATATACAGTCATTGAGATAGAAAACTTATACGGCCATTGAAATAGGAAACTTAGCCCCGCAAACAACCCAATCTAAAATTCGCTCCATAGGAGATTTGAACTCAGGACCTTGAGGTACTACTCAGGTCACTGTAATCACTAGGCTACATGCCCTTTCGTATGTATGCAAATCTGTCGCGAAAAAAAATTCAGACATTCAGGTGAGATATAACCTTCTTCACTAACATTGTACTTAACTAAGTAAAAGTAGTACATACGTTAGACCAAGCCAAGGGTATTGGTCACGCTAGAGACCAGACATTCAGCATCAGAGTGCACTACTAAAATGGTGAAATTACCCACTACCCAGCAACATGGAACATGATTACATAATAACCAGGCTTCTACTTGATTTCTTCATTTCGACTTAATTCTACTTGCAAGAAGAAAAAAAAATAAAGAAAAGATCAAGGTCCTTGAGTTAGTCTTTGGAGTTCACTCTGTTCATCCAGTGTCTCCATGAGGAGAGGGGGAGCGTACTGCGCGTTCCCTTGGTGCTCTTCTGCATCTTGGCAGAATGAGAGGATTATGGTGTCAATCGACATCTCGACGACCTGGAAGAAAAGCTTGGCAACTATGAAACCAAGGGCCCATGATACCTGCAATTGCAGCAGCAGCAGAATACAGACACCTTTAGGTCTTACCAATGGAAATGGCGTTTGTCAGTTTGCAAACCGCAATGACAGAGCGACAAAATGCTTACCACTACAGGAACAAGAGGAGATGATATCTTGTTATGTGCGGACTTGTATTTGTGTGTGTCTAACATAAGGAACGCAAAGAGCGCACAGAACAAGCTCACACAGAGCTTCCCCAGAAAGAGGATGACATCTCCAATGACGTTAACTTTTCCAATGCGCAGTATGTTATTCATGATCAAACCAGTTGCAAGAACAGAAGCTTTGAAGAACCCTTTCCCGGTAATGGCGATCTGCAACACCGAAAGAAGGGCATAAGCCTAATGAATTCAATAGAAGCATCAACGTGAATAGCATATGTTTTTCCAGATGATTTTGCATCCACACCAAGTCACCAACACAAAGCAGGGGAGACGATTGATTTCAGTCATGGAGCAATTGCTCCATGAACAAGAATTTTTGTATGCTTACCATTATATAGGCATTTCGATTCACAGACTTGAGGGTCCAGTCTATGCAGCCCAGGCAGCATTGAGAAGAGGATGATGTCATTTTCCCAAAGCAGCTTTCGCGAGCGGAATCAACTAGCTTCAACTTGCGTCTGAGGCATTCTAGTATAAACCGCACCCACTCAACAGCAGATACAACAAGTGAACCTATAGCAACTGAACCAAGGCTGTAACGCAACAACCGCTTCATTGAAGAAACAACTGTAACAAATGGTATGTCATGCTGCATAGGAATAGCTCAAATAGTCAGTGGAAAGGAGAAGTAAACTAACTGCTAAATATAGGGTAAATTTTAAGTGCCTCAATTCACTTACAGATATTTCACCACGTGCCCAATAGTATGAAGCAACTGATCCAGCAATCACGGTTGAAGAGCAAGCAATAAAGAATTGGGTTGCCCAGTAACAGCCAAATAAGTGGAAAAGAATGGCAATACCAATATGAGGGGTGTAATGGATGCTGTACCCACAGCAGTTGTCACAGTTTACTTTGCCCAACTTCAGATCATATGAGCAACAATCTGTATTGCAGTCATTTCGGAGAACTTGACCAGAGCTGAAGAGATGGAGTGTGGCAGAAAACCAGAACATATAAAAGATAGCGAGGATAAAGTATGGCACAACTGGGAAAATAATTAGTGCCTGAACTTCACCAATGACCTTCGCAGCAACCTGAAGATAATAATTTATCAGGTTAGTGCTTAGGAACTATTAACTATATTCTTGCCTTCAAAGAGGAGGAATGGCATTGATGCTGAGTGTCTTCAAAACCAAGCTTCTGCTTATACAGTGTATAATAGTTAGCTAATCAAGCTTGTACATCCAATGATTCACGTACCTTCAGGACAGGTGTTGCTATCAGTATACGACGGATAATAGCTATGGAGGTCAGAAATGCAATAATCATTACTACTGTCATCACCACTGTAGCAGCATGAAGGTGGCTTATTTCCTAGTAAAAGAATGAACAATCAGGCAACATGAAGCTGGATATTGTAAAAAGTCAAAAAATTGGATATACTCACCCGCCCAGTTATGTGGACATATGGATCACTTTCGCCAATTACAACTGTTAAGGGATCATTGCCTAACCAGCCAGCTGAATTAAAATGTAGCCAATTAGGATCGTATGTGTGTAACATGTTAAATGGCATACAATGGAATTTCCCTTGCTATATTTTGGAATTATGACATGCAAAAGTGAACCATACCTTTAATATAAAAAAACATGGTAACAGAGATTACTAGAGCATTGAAAACCACTACAGTTATCCATGGCGTGGCAACAACAAAATAACGAATCAGAAGCAACCAGATAACTGACAAGAAAAGAGGGAGCAGTCCACCGCAAACAATTAACACAGGCCATGACTTCCCAATGTCAGCAACGTATCTCTGCAGACGAAGGAAATGGTAATTAATATCTTCAAAGACAAAATGGGACTCCAGTGCTATATAGATCATGTTGCATCAGGAATTTCTCAAAATACTTCAAAAGGAATATCCATTTCAGTTGCTAGAAAGTAATATGCTTCTTTCAGAGCAACAGTGCAACAAAGTTCTTTTGTAAGGATAAAAAGAATTACTGCAGTGTAATGTACGGTCAGCGTTAGCTATAGGAATAGCTGGATAATTTGTCACTTCCAACGTAAATCAGAAATGTTTATGACAAAAAAAAAGGAATGTGCAGATAATAAAACAGTGCCAGGAAGTTTACAAACCTTCAGGACTGAAGATTTAGAATTGATGGCCTTGTGGATTGTTTTATCTATGAGAATATTTTCGTCGATGTTGATACCACCCATCTGTTGCCAATGCTTCAAAGAGACATTTGATGCTCGCGCAATAAATTGGCAGCTCCAGTAGACTGAAGGCAACAAAGATTTTGGATCAGCTATCTCATTATTTAAACTTATTACATGAAGGAATAAAGCCCTCAATTTAATCCATGCTCACAAAAAATGGTCGCACGGAAGTGCTACAAACAGAGCAAAGATTACCATTCACACTTGGAAATATAACAGGGTAGCATGGACCCTGCAGTTGAAGAGAACTATTTCTCATATCTGGTGTGAGAAACTCAAAATAGTCATAGTCCCTGTCGATCCAATCATCGACAGACAGGCGAATGTCCCCTTCTGGATAATCACAAACAAAGTTTAATCCGTCTGCTGCTGGCATGGGGCACTCCATCAGGCAGATGGCTTTGGCATCAGCAAGGTTAATCTTGTTGTCCTTGACCCCACTTTGGTACACCTGGTTTGGGTTCATCCAATATCTAACATCAAGCTCATGCAAATCCGGGTCACCATGCCTACTGCCACAAATGTTCCCTTTGTAGTCTAGTTCATAAGTAAGCCTGTGTCATCAAAACAATATAAGACATCTGTATTACTTAGATACACATGCAGCATGTACTAAATAGGAGTAGTATGGTTACTCATCATAGTGTCTGAATAATAGTAAAATGATAGCCATGCAAAAGTTGCACAGCACTGAGTTTTATCCCTAAACAAATTTTCTTTTGGTCAGCACTCAGTAGTGGGTTTTGGTTTCTATTAATATATAACCGTAGTGTGAATTGCTTTTAGGGAGCACAAATCCTGTATAGCTGGGCTGTAAGTTTTTTTTCGGAGGGAATACAATTCCAAGGACCACACAACTCTAATATATAAGAGTAACCACTAAAGGCACATTTTCTCCCTGCAAAGCAAAAGTGGGATTCTTTACCTATCCGGTTGGGAGGTTGAAACAAAGCAAGCAAAGATTATTCGATTCAGAGTACAAATAACAAAGTCGGGAGCTAGAAGTTTCATTCCGAAATAAGCAAGATCTGCTATTAAAGTATTTAATAGCCTAAAAAAAAGTCATCTGAATGTTCCATAGTAGCAAGTGGCACCCTCATTTTCTCACTCTATGTCAGTTCAATTAGACTGAAAGCCTGAAAATAACACATCAAGTTGAAGAATTGACCAGGATCCGCGCGAAAAAAATGAGCCAACAAGAATGCGAAGGTATGCACTAAACACCCAAACACATCCAACAAGGAACATAGCCCGTAACACCTGAAAATGCTCCGTTCTTGGTAAATTGTTGCTGTCTGAAGAACAGCTCAAAATGTACCGCGGCATTAATCACCACCCAGCAAAGGAAAAGTTCCCCGGATGAACGCTCTTAGCATCTAGCTACAGGGAACCGAAATTAAACAGCACCGACAGCACAGATCGGCGAATCTTGAGGAGAGGAGAGGTGAAGGCGAGTGGGTGGGTCACGGGTCACCTCACCTGAGTGGGTTGCCCTGGTTGAATCCGAAGCTGGAGTTGACGATCATGGCGACCCAGAAGGCCGCGAAGAGCACGAGGAAGGCCAAATCCCGGCACCTCCGGTTGTGCCGAATGATGCCATCCCCGCCGCCGCCGCCGCCGACACCTCCCAGCTCATCCCCCCCGCCGCCGCCCGCCGCCGCCGGGTGCCTGCCTATGATGGCGCCGAGTGGCCCTCCCATTCCGCCGCCTCCGCCGCCGCTCGCCCTCGATCCGATGCTGTGGTAGCTCGCGGTTGTGCTTCTTGTGAGCGGAAGTGGGCGAGCTCAAGCTGGCTGGTGGAGTGATGAGCTTGTCAGTGTGTGCAGCTAGCTTTTCTTTTTTTTTTTTGGCTTTTTGCTGCTGCGGCTGCGTGAAAAGGAGAGTGGGAGCAGGAGACCTGGAAACTTTACCAACTTCACAGATTTCGCACAAATTTTTGTCCAAGATTTGATGGTGTTTCAAAAGATTTCGCTTAGATTTAAATCCAGAAAAGAGAATGGATGAAACGGTTTGGTGAAGACTGGATCATTAACCACGGTCAATGGAGTAAGCTTCGCAATTAAGAGCGAGATTTAATTAATATGGCTGGATTTGGTTACCTGTTCGCGGCCGATGGGTTGCCCGTTCTGGTCAAATGAATCGACCAATCGTGTGGGTGCAGTTCGTGGAGCACGCTACTGACTGTCGTCACTGCATGCATGTAGTGGTACACGTTAATTACGGTGAAGGTACATGGAAAATAAAATGTCTTTTTCTTTTTCTTTTGCAAGAGCAAGTAAAGGTTTCGGAGGAATACAAGAAAGGTGTCCCTGTCTTTCGGCCTTCACTAACAGAGATTGTTGCGTTGGCTCGAGGATGGGATGGGTGAGCTAGGCTAGTGCAGGAGGCAAGTTGGTAGTACAAAACTACAAATGTTGCATAAACATACTATTAGTACTACCCCTCTTTCAAAAAGACTATAGTTTTACAGGTTTATATCTAACGTTTCATCATCCGTTTTATTTGAAAACTACAGGTTTATTTGAGAAATTTATGATTAGTATTTTTATTGTTATTACTATATGATAAAACATGAATAGTACATGACTATTTTTTTTATTTTTTCATAAATTTTTGAAATAAGATGGACGGTTAAACGTTGGACACCAAAACCTACAACTACACTTAAAATGATATGGAGATAGTAATATACTCCCTCCGTTTCAGGTTATAAGATGTTTTGACTTTAGTTAAAGACAAACTGTTTCAAGTTTATAGGAAAAATAGTAATATTTTCGAATCATGGTAAGTTTATTATAAAAATATATTTAACTATTAATTAAATAAAACTAATTTGGTAATATAAATATTACTATATTTGATAAAAAAAACATCTTACAACATGAAACAATGGGAGTATATCTGATTAGTACTTTACATCACATACTGATAGATAATGATGGGGTGACCTCTATGCATAGTATAGTGTTGACTTAGACTAGGTCTTGTGAGCAGGCCATGGTATTTCTTACATATACTACATGTTGTATCGTTGGTATTCAAAGTTGAAATATGTATATTCTCTTTCAAATTATTCGCCTGTCCCTCGGTAGCTCTTTCAAATGACTGTAACTCTATTGCTTCTTTAGAGCCAAGTAGTATCTCGTTGACGCGACCCCATACTTTACAGTGGGATAAAAACGGAGCGGATAGTTTCTGTATGCTCTGAATAAGAACGAATATGGATACCTTTCAGATCGGATAATTCCCAGATAGTTCGGATACGAATACGAATATTTTCTCATGGATACGGATACGAATATGGTATCGGGGTTTCTATCGGATACGGATAATAATTCGGATATCCAGTGAACAGTGTTATTCGGATATCTACAGAAGCCATGAGACATACCTTATTTTTTTATAAATCTATGACCTTTAATATAGCTTTTTTAGATTTTAACAGTAGTTCATATCTTAACACTAGTTCACACTATTAATATTATTTACCTTTTTATAATATATTTATAAATTATATTACATTTTATATAAAATGAGCTAATTATATATGTTGATATTTGTTTCTATAAGAAGTTGAGTTGGTTTTCGTGTTCCGAGAAAAAAATTATTTCCGTATTCGTGTCCGATCATATTCAATTCTTATTCATATTCAAAATTATCCGTATTTGTTTCTATATATGGCAAAAAATATAAAAACGAACATGGTATGAGCATTATCCGTCCGTATCCGCTCTGTTTTTCTCCCTACTCTACACTCTACAGGCATACGCGTACCCATCGTACATGTACAGATGAATTTTGCATGGGCTCTACGCTCTATCTAGCCCACCGAGCCTAGAGGAGGGCTCGAAATGGGCCAGGCCCAACGGGGAAAAAAAACACGAGCTCGTCGCCGGCGGCGGCGCGCATTTCCGGCACAAGAAACACGCAAAATCAAAACACGCGGAGCACATGGCGACCATGGCGTGGAGGTTGGCACGGTGTGGTTTTCCATCGGTTTCGGAGGCAATGCGTCATCCTCGGAGCTCGCTGCTACAAATGCAACCTCACCTGCACCGCCTGCTCGCCCCAGCCGAGGCGGGATCGATCTTCCACCGTGCCGTTGCCAGTGCCACCGGGGGTGGGTGAGCACCGTCACGGCGTCACCTCCCCTCCCCTCCCTCCGGCCGGCATGACGATCGAGGGAACCATATATGGCGGGCGCGGCGGCGATGGCCCTGTTGCTCTCGACCAGCGTGCTGCTCGTCCTGTGCCTTCTCCCCGTCGACCCGGCTGCCCCGCCGGTCGCCGCCATCCCGCACCGCCGATCGGGGCGCCACGACGTGCCGTTCGGCCGTCACGCCGCGTTCGGCCCGTTCGCCACCGAGGTCGAGCTGCTGCTCCACGGCGGCGGCGCCGTCCCGGACATCAGGACGTGCCGCGACACGCTCGACCGCCTCCCCGACTGGTCCCACTTCGACGCCGAGCTCGGCCCCCTGGAACGGTGCGTGCGCCGCTCGCCGCGCTGCAGAACTCGGTGGTCTTCCACGCGCGCACGCGGAGTGCTTGATGTTTTGCGCGCATGGATGGATGCAGGTACTTCGGGTCGGACGGGGAGCTGAACGTGAAGGAGCGGCTGCTGTACCTGTTCCCGATGCTGGACCGGGCGCCCAAGGACGGCGGCGTCAGCTGCGGCGAGCTGGAGGCCTGGCTGCGCCGGCAGGCGGCGGACCGTCTCGACGCCGTCGCGCGGAGGGAGCTCAAGAGGCACGACAAGGACGGAGACGGCGTCGTCACGCTGCGCGAATACCTCGCCGTCGACCACGATCAACACATTGGTACGGACAACTGTAATTTTAGTGTCAGTGTCTGCACGGTTTTTGTTGACGCGTCGCCACGCTTTAAGCACGTTATATGCAGTCCGCAGCGGCACCCGACAACACGTCGTCGCAAGGGAGGTAGATGTACCGAATGAACACCCAGGAGGGACCCCGTCAGAGTGAACGCGCGTCAGTTTATCCTAGTCTCGGCAGGCCAGCTAGAACATTCTCTAACATCATAGAGACGAGAGACGATAAGCAATTGGGGGTTGAGAGGTGAATAGACTTGGGTACAAGTAGCAAGAGGAAGGGAGATGTAGAATGTAGAGGTTAGGGCATTCACAATGTGGGAATATGGGTGGGTATTACGACACCAAAGTAGACCTCATACATTGTGAGGGGATTTTTAGGGTGGTCTCTAGCTAAAGTTGTCCATATGCTTATAGCCTGCTCTTATGGCATTAAAAGAATAAAAAATAACTTCACTCTCTCAATGACAAAGAGAAAAGAAGAGATGGATGGAGAGAGAAACAACGATTTTTTTTAAAAAGTGTGGGTCCCATCTTAAGGTTGGTCCCACCTTAATACCACCCTAGTACATACACACTGCTGATGCCCTTATGGGCAATAGATTGATTTTGATGATTGATTGGTTGTTTTTTCAATCTGCCTTAGCCTCTATAGTTATAGGAGGGGTGATCTTACGTTTACATGACTCTTTTTCACGTTTGGAAAGCTTTACAATCAAGAAAACCCTAAGATTAAGGAAAGAAAAATGAAAAAACTCAATTCGATTCGAACTATGTGCTGAAGGTCTGACCGCCCAGACATACGTGGTCTGACCGTAGTTTATTGTTTGGTCTAACCGGCTATACATTGGCGGTCAGACCAGTCTTCACGGGAAAGCTTTGGTATTTTTCATATTTGGTTTGAACTTGCTATAAATCTAAACTAGTGCCAAATTTAAGCGTTAACAATTTCATTGGGTTATGAGTTATTAACTGCATAGATTGGACCGACACGGAGCACGGCGAACCAGGATGGTGGCTGCATAAGTTCATAAGCGCGGATAGAGATCATAGCGGCGCCATGGACTTCATAGAGCTCAACGAGTACCACACTCATTTCTGAACCTTTTTTTAGATTGTTGAGTACATCGGAAATTCAATAGATTAAACTCTCCTAACCCTTGGTCTATGTGTGTTGCATATATACTATAGCTTCTTGCATCCAGAAGATAGCAGCCAGGAGAAAGTGAAATTATGGCTGTTGAAGGATAAATTAAGGCAAGCAGTGTCCAAACACTTGCATATACTTATAATGTTGCTAATTACGGTCCACTAATATGATAAATTGATGTATTTGATTTATCTTTTTCATCTGCATGGATGCATGGAATACAGTGGAATGGATCACGATAGAGACGGGAAATTAAGTTTGGATGAGTTTATCAGTCAGTTTCACATGATCGACCACAACTCCATTGTAGAGCATAGTGCTGATGATGATACTAGTTGTGCTGAAGCTGAGAAGAAGTTTCGAGAGCTCGATTCTAACAATGACGGGTAATACTTGAAACAGAAGAAAATAGCACCACTTTGTGTAGTGAATATTTGCAAGATAACCCTTTTTTACTCCACCTTTCCCCTTTTCAGCTATTTGACAGTGGAAGAAGCACGTCCAGTAATCCAGAGCCTCATCTCGGGAGAGTTTTCATATGCTAAATCACATGCAAAGCTTTTGATGAAGGTGACTAACTAACCATACCAAATATAACTAGTAAGCAATTTTCACTATTTAATTGATAACCACTATAAACTACCTTTTTTTTTGGCAAATATGATAATGACATAGGCTGATGATAACAAGGACAACAAGTTGTCACTAGAAGAGATGCTGAACCACTACCTATCTTTCTACAATATTGTTTACATGGATGATCACTATGACTACGATGACATTGGCAACAATATCCACGATGAGCTTAGGTGACAAATTTAGCCAAGACGGTATATATAAACTGTTCCCTATGACAAACAAATTATCATGATAAAAGCTGTAAATTATGACAAACAATATGAACGTGTACATATGGGTAACTACACGCGTAAGTAATCTGACATTTGTGCGTTTATACTTTCCAATGGAATATATAACATGTTTTTGATAGGGCAACAACAGGTGGTGGACCCAAGAAAATTCCAATGTGTGCCCACATCAGAGTTGCAAATACTGACCTTAAAGTCTTAATAAACAGAAATACATATTATCAAAAGTACAATATGAATATAGTTCGAGTTAAATCTATTACATTGATTTAACTTATAAATTCTAGTTCACATTGATTAATTAGAAAAATCATTTCGTTCACCCAAATTTTCCGCTGCTGCTAAATTCAATGTAAAAAAATAAATCCTAACACCCTAACACAAACTACGAAGATGAAGTTGAACAGTACAATTGGAGGAGCTTTCAGCTGTGTCATCATGCTTCTATAGAAGATTACAAGGGATTGTCGACTTCTTGTACTAAGGTGGATCAGTTTGCTATTAAGGGTTTCAATATCTACAGAGAAACAATCATCTGCAAAAATAAGGAAGTCCGATAGGTGCATTCAGAAATAGGATGCCCATGGATTACAGAACTGGTAATCATTTTTTTAGCCTACATTGATGTTCAACACAAACAAACTAAACAGTGTAAACCGTATAGGCAGTACAAGATATATCTCCTTTCACTAATACACCAACATCTTTTTGACAACGACCTATTCGATTCGATGAGGTTCATAAAACATCTAGTTCAGCTAACATTGACATTTGCGACGTTGTCTATGCTACAAAGAGAACATAATCGTGAACAGTTCAGAACACAAACCTCTCATGTTGACATCTACACCAGCAGCCAGATGCTTCGCTATGTCATCAATTACTCCTTCCCTTGCAGAAACATGGATATCACCAAGTTCTCTGCAGTTACAGATAAGTTTGTTGCAATTATGGAAACACTGTGATGTGACTAGATGACTGAATAAATAATTCTTATTAGCATCAATTTGGAGATAACTAGTAGCATACTCCATGAAATAATTAATCATGTCATTGTTATTTGCTAGTACTACTACGATTTATCAGCCATAAGAGATAATGTCCAAATACAATACTACCTGCACTTGAATCAAGGCAGTTTTAATACATAAGACCAAAGGTACAGGGTATACCTCAATTCAAAAACTTACGAGTCATTTCCCTGATCTTCCTCCTCATACATTAAACTGCTAAATACAGGCCCCATCGGTCCCTTCGAACTTGAAGCAGATATTGTGCTATCTTCATCTTTCTTTTTCCGAAATCATGTAAACCAGATTATCAAACAAGTCAATATCAGGGGGGCAAAGCCTGACGCTGATAGATGCTTGAACTAAATCCAGAAAAAAAAATCAGGGAGCCAGGGAGATCGAATCTACCACTTGGCGCGGGCCTTGAGCTTGAGGGCGGACGGCTGTGGCGCAGTGCAGGGTCCCTCGGTGGCGATCTTGTAGAGTCCGTAGAGCTGCAGCTGGGTATCAACTGAGAAATCCAGGATACAGTCACATTATACGTCTTAACAACTGAGATTGCATTTTTCAGTTTGCAACAGAAGGCTCATCCTGCCAGCGTACTGGTCTGATCGCACGGCCATAAGCAAATTTCAAGTTCCAGCCCCAATTATGTAAGCAAATTTGAAGCGAACAATATTCAGACATTCAGACAAGATATAACCTTCTTCACTATCATTGTATTAGCAAAGTATAGTAGGAGTACATACGTTAGATCAGGCCAGGGGTACTAGTCACGCTATAGACCAGACTTTCAGCATCAGAGTGCACTACCAAAATGGTGAAATTACCCACTAGCCAGCAACAAAGAACATAATGACAAGGCTTCTACTTAATTTCTCCATTCTGACTTAATTCTACTTGCAAGAAGAAGAAAAGTCAAGGCCCTTGAGTTAGTCTATGGAGTTCACTCTGTTCATCCAGTGTCTCCACTAGGAGAGGGGGAGCGTACTGCGCGTTCCCTTGGTGCTCTTCTGAATCTTGACAGAAGGAGAGGATTATGGTGTCGATCGACATCTCGACGACTTGGAAGAAAAGCTTGGCGACTATAAAACCAAGTGCCCATGATACCTGCAGTGTAGCAGCATCAGAATATATACAGACACCTTTAGGTCTTAGCAATGGAAATGGCATTTGTCAGTTTGCGAGCCGCAATGACAGAACGATGAAATGCTTACCACTACAGGAACAAGAGGAGATGATATCTTGTTATGTGCAGACTTGTACTTGTGAGTGTCTAACATAAGGAAGGCAAAGAGCGCACAGAACAAGCTCACACAGAGCTTCCCCAGAAAGAGGATGACGTCTCCAATGACGTTAACTTTTCCAATGCGCAGTATGTTATTCATGATCAAACCAGTTGCGAGAACAGAAGCTTTGAAGAACCCTTTCCCAGTAATGGCTATCTGCAACACCAAAAGAAGGGTATAAGCCTAATGAATTCAATACAAGCATCAACTTGGATAGTGTATGTTTTCCAGATGATTTTGCATCCACACCAAAACAAAGCAGGGGAGACAATTGGTTTCAGGCATGGAGCAATTGCTCCATGAACAAGAATTTTTGTATGCTTACCATTATATAGGCATTTCGATTCACAGACTTGAGGGTCCAGTCTATGCAGCCCAGGCAGCATTGAGAAGAGGATGATGTCATTTTACCAAAGCAGCTTTCACGAGCGGAATCAAATAGCTTCAACTTGCGTCTGAGGCATTCTAGTATAAACCGCACCCACTCAACAGCAGATACAACAAGTGAACCTATAGCAACTGAACCAAGGCTGTAACGCAACAACCGCTTCAATGAAGAAACAACTGTAACAAATGGTATGTCATGCTGCATAGGAATAGCTCAAATAGTCAGTGGAAAGGAGAAGTAAACTAACTGCTAAATATAGAGTAAATTTTTTAAGTGCCTCAATTCACTTACGGATATTTCACCACGTGCCCAATAGTATGAAGCAACTGATCCAGCAATCACGGTTGAAGAGCACGCAATAAAGAATTGGGTTGCCCAGTAACAGCCAAATAAGTGGAAAAGAATGGCAATACCAATATGAGGGGTGTAATGGATGCTGTACCCACAGCAGTTGTCACAGTTTACTTTGCCCAACTTCAGATCATATGAGCAACAATCTGTATTGCAGTCATTTCGGAGAACTTGACCAGAGCTGAAGAGATGGAGTGTGGCAGAAAACCAGAACATATAAAAGATAGCGAAGATAAAGTATGGCACAACTGGGAAAATAATTAGTGCCTGAACTTCACCAATGACCTTCGCAGCAACCTGAAGATAACAATTATCATGGTTAGTGCTTAGGAACTATATATTAACTATACTCTTGCCATCAAAGAGGAGGAATGGCATTGATGCTGCATGTCTTCAAAACCAAGCTTCTGCTTATATAGTGTTTTTTTTTTGCGAGGTGCTTATATAGTGTAGCTAATCAAGCTTGTATCCAATGATTCGCGTACCTTCAGGACAGGTGTTGCTATCAGTATACGCCGGATAATAGCTATGGAGGACAGAAATGCAATGATCATTACAACTGTCATCACCACCGTAGCAGCATGAAGGTGGCTTATTTCCTAGTAAAAGAATGAATAATCAGACAACAGGGCTGGATATTGTAAAAAAGTTGACAAAAGTTGATATACTTACCCGTCCAGTTATATGCACATATGGATCACTTTCACCAATTACAACTGTCAAGGGATCATTGCCTAACCAGCCAGCTGAATTAAAATGTAGCCAATTAGAATCGTATGTGTGCAACATGTGAAATGGCATACAATGGAATTTCCCTTGCCATATTTTGGAATTATGATTTGAAAAATTGAACCATACCTTTAATATAAAAAAACATAGTAACGGAGATTACTAGAGCATTGAAGAGCACTACAGTTATCCATGGCATGGCAGCAACAAAATAACGAATCAGAAGCAACCAGATAACTGACAAGAAAAGAGGGAGCAGTCCACCGCAAACAATTAACACAGGCCATGACTTCCCAATGTCAGCAACGTATCTCTGCAGACAAAGGAAATGGTAATTAATATCTTCAAAGACAAAATGGGACTCCAGTGCTATATGAATGATATTGCATCAGGAATTTCTCAGAATAATTCAAAATGCATATCCATTTTAGTTGCAAGAAAGTAATATGCTTCTTTCAGAGCAACGGTGCAACAAAATTCTTTTGTAAGGATAAAAAGTATTGCTGTGGTGTAATGTACGGTCAGTGTTAGCTATAGGAATAGCTGGGCCACTTTTCACTTCCAACGTAAATCAGAAATGTTTGCGACAGCAAAAAGGAATGTGCAGGTAATAAAACAGTGCCAGGAAGTTTACAAACCTTCAAGACTGAAGATTTAGAATTGATGGCCTTGTGTATTGTTTTATCTATGAGAATATTTTCGTCGATGTTGATACCACCCATCTGCTGCCAATGCTTCAAAGAGACATTGGATGCTCGCGCAATAAATTGGCAGCTCCAGTAGACTGAAGGGAACAAAGATTTTGGATCAGCTATCTCATCGTTTTAACTTATTGCATGAAGAAGTAAAGCCCTTAATTTAATCCATGCTCACATGGAAGTAGTACAGACTGAGCAAAGATTACCATTCACACTTGGAAATATGACAGGGTAGCATGGACCCTGCAGCTGAAGAGAACTATTTCTCATATCTGGTGCGAGAAACTCAAAATAATCATAGTCCCTGTTGATCCAATCATCGATAGAGAGGCGAATGTCCCCTTCTGGATAATCACAAACAAAGTTTAATCCGTCTGCTGCTGGAATGGGGCACTCCATCAGGCAGATGGCTTTGGCATCAGCAAGGTTAATCTTGTTGTCCTTGACCCCACTTTGGTACACCTGGTTTGGGTTCATCCAATATCTAACATCAAGCTCATGCAAATCCGGGTCACCATGCCTACTGCCACAAATGTTCCCTTTGTAGTCTAGTTCATAGGTAAGCCTGCGTCATCAAAACAAGATAAGACATCAGTATTACTAAATAGTAGTTTGGTTACT